CACTATAATAACTCCCACATACATGTACATGTTCACTTCAGTAAGAAATAAAAACAGGAAGCTCCTAGCATGAGTTAGTTTGATCTGTAGCTGGGTGTAGCAGAAGCCTAGAGAGGGGAGGGGGGGGGGTACAATGTATTAATAAGCACATGCACTGTCACTGAAACAATAACGACATGCACTGTCACTAAAACATAAGACTTAACTAATCCTAAAAAGATTAAGGCAAATCCACAACATTTGATTCGATGAATACTTAATTATATTTTGTCTATAAATATAAGTAACACTTTATCAAGTACACTGTACCATGCCTGATAGATGAAGACTGCATCATGTAACATATTTTGGATTTTGGTATTTAAAACAGAATGATGACCACTCCTTGACAAGGTTCACTAAACAGAAACTTGCAATTAATGCTAATGCCTTGAAGAGTCTACAGTGGGCTTTGAAATTTACCTTTTGTTGTGAACATTGAGGTTTGCGCGTTTCGAATACAAGTTAGTAGTGGCTTTTTGTTATGCAAAATACATGCAACTGCGTGTATGAATAACAAAGGTTTCTTCCTCCGATTAAAATACACGCATTTGCATAAAATTACATGCAAATACGTGTAACTAACAGATCAGTAAATTTTACAGGCGTGTAAGTAATTACATGCACCATCCATGCACTGTCCACACACACACACACGAATGCTACACGCATTTTACGCGCGTGTAGGTGCTGCAATCCCTTTGACTGGTACTGTAAATGCGGCTATTATTGACAACTGACAATCAAACTCTTAATATCTCCAAACACCTGGTTCTCGCCTTGCTCGGAGGGTTTTTCTCTGGGTTCTCCAATTTTCCTCCCTCCACAAAAATCAACATGTCTAAATTCCAATTCGATCAGCATAGAGGACCAGCATGAAAACCAGCTAAGGCTGATGTGGCTTCCTCTCTAAATATTGTAAATTTACTTTTTTTATTTTTTACCATAGAGCATGGTCTGTGGACAGCTGGTAGACTCTCCAGATAAATTACCAAGAGCTCTGATCTGGATAAACCCAAGCTGACACTTACTTGCATTAAATGTAA